GATGGTGAAAGAGGAAAGAGTGAGGGATGGTGAAAGAGGGAAGAGTGAGGGACGATGAAAGAGGGAAGAGTGAGGGATGGTGAAAGAGGAAAGAGTGAGGGATGGTGAAAGAGGAAAGAGAGAGGAACGGTGAAAGAGGGAAGAGAGAGGGTCGGTGAAAGAGGGAAGAGTGAGGGATGGTGAAAGAGGAAAGAGAGAGAGTGATGGTGAAAGAGGAAAGAGAGAGGAACGGTGAAAGAGGAAGGAGCGAGGGACGGTGAAAGAAGGAAACGAGAGGGTCTATAAAAGAGGAAGCGAGATGGACCCCGCGTGCGTGCTTACCGCGTGTGCACTAACCGATGTCCCCCTATGTCCCCCTATGTCCCCGCGCAGTGGCAGGGGAAGGGGAAGGGAAGTTGAACTCGTACATCCCTCGCGCATAAATCGGACGTATGTATCCGCGTAAAATGTATTCTGTACGCCATTGTCGCCCCTGGCAACTGTCCTTTCGTCCACCCTCCACCCCCACCTCGCGCAAACCACCCTCGCAGACCGCGCGCGACTGAAGTATATACGCATTTTTTCTCTCTCTTGCGTTTCAGCTTGAAGATGGAGTGCGAAAAGCTGGCGAGCGAGAAGACGGAGATGCAGCGTCACTACGTGATGGTAAGTAAGCCGACGACGCCGACGACGACGACAAAATGCGATTAAATCTCGGCGGCATTATGCACGCGACTCGCGGCGCGTGAAGTGCGCTCACACACACACCGCGCCGCGAGTCACCTCTAATGACGTTAAGGGCAGGCCGTGATTAGCGCGCGAGCGGGATGTTTTTCCTCCTCTTTCTCCTCCTCCTCCTCATCCTGCTCCTCCTCCGTATTCTTCTCCTCCTTCTGCTTCGTCTTCGTCTTCTTCTCTGGATGCCCTGAGGAGCCGCGGGCTGTTGTCGCGCTGCTGGTGAAGGGTTGTGCGCGCGCAGTAGCAGCGCTGATGGAATGTCTGTCTCACCTATCTATCTATCTGTCCTGCCTCGCTCGTCAGCAGTTATGATAGCAGAGTGTGGCTTCTGATCAGTCAACGCAGATATGTCAGTGTGTCGTCACCTTGTCATCGCGGTCCCCCTGTCTTTGTCAACGAAGATGTTTGAGGCGTTAAGTCGCCGTAACTTACCGTCATGATGATCTCGCGAAGTCGATGTGATAAAGTCATCGTGTTGACCACATTTTGTCAACGTAGATAAGTTAAGGGGTCCATACTGTGTCATCGTAGATGTGTCATTGTGTCCTTACTATGTCAACGTAGATAGGTCCTTGTGCCCTCGCGGTGTCAACAAACACAAGTCAATGTGTCCTTACAGTGTCAACGTGGATAAGTAATTGTGTCCTCGCGGTGTCAACGTAGATAGGTCCTTGTGCTCTCACGGTGTCAACAAAGACAAGTCAATGTGTCCTTACAGTGTCAACGTGGATACAGTGTCAACAGAGATAAGCTAAGGTGTCGTCATAGTGTGATGATAGATAAGCGAACAACCTTCAGAGACCAATGTCACGAACGTAGATAAAATGCCTTGATGAAGTTGAACTGTCATACGCACGTGTTTCGAGGAAAGTGATAGGAAAGTGAGCGCGCGATTATTTGAGAATTACGTATGAATATGACCAGAAGTAGATAATAGGGAATAGGGAAACGATGCTAGCCGAATGTACTGTGTACGATTTGAGCTCAAGTTGGTTGAGTTAGGCTAGTAAATGACGAATTTCCCTTGTTTATTGAAGTCACACTCCTTCCCTATTATCTACTTCTGATATGATGTATCATAATTTTCCACACTTATCGTAGCATAGCGTTATTATAATATTATACAAGATCCGTAAGCACCGAATTAAATAGTTTATGATATCTCTACTCGCGAGCTGTTACGGCGCCTCTGTGTAAACTGACAGTCCGCCTCGTGCGCGTATCTCCAGAAACATTCCCAGATAAGCCCTCCCTGTATAAATATGTACTTTGAAGATTTCTCTTTTTCGTTCGCTGTTCGTTTACATGTACCGACCGACTGACGCGCTCTCGTCTTAGTCAATAATAATCAGTGGTTTTTACTATTTGATGGACTAGGAGGCCGAGCTGGGCTGAGCAGATCACGTGTACTAAATTACCGTATCCCGTGCAACAATGTCTGCCCTGTTCCGGCGGCTGTGCAAATGTTTTCGAAGTGCATTTTGATCGTCAGGTCGCCCCCGGTTACATTTCGGCTCTCCCCCATAGTACTGGTTGGCCATTTTCTTTCGTGTGGCTTTAAGGAGACGCGACGCTTTTTTTCATGCGGAATGATTTCCTTTGGCGTGCCGTAGTCACTCTCGCCTTGGCGCTCGCATACGAAATGTAGTTCCGCGAAGATTTCGATTTAAACTCGGAATATTTTCGCTTAGTCTTTCGGGTCGCTATTACGCGATGCCGCTGCTGGGTTCGATTTATTGTTTGACAGTTGAAAATCAAATCTCGTGTAATTCCACGTCCGTGCAGTTTAGATCTATTATGTGCGTCGGATGCCATTCCTCCGCGTTATATGTGAAGTCTTCGGAAACGGCAGCCATTTTTGTTGAATTTGAAATCGGGTGTTTCTCAATTCGCCATTATTTATGAGTTAGGAGTTAGGGTTAGGAGTTAGCGGTTATCAGGTGTGAATTTCGCTAGTGATGGAACACGCTTAAATTGCAAAGGAAGTGTAATTCGAGGAATGCGATTACGTTATGAAATAATTGGGTAAATCACGAGACATGAGTGTAGAAAAATGGAGGAAATCTGGCAAAAACAGTATACGTAGTCTAGGCCTACTCTAGTTTTAATCGACTGAGTGCTCAAAATGGCCCAGCCCCTACTGTGAGACGCGTACTCGGGTCCAACGCTAGTCATTTTTTAGGGTATGAGGTCATAAAGACAAAGAGAAACTGATTTTTATCATCGTGGGCGTTAGAGAACCGCTGTTCACTATTGTTGAGGTGACATGGTCCGGTGAGCTCGGTGCAAAATCTTTTGCTTTTTTACGTGTTTCAACCATCTCCAAGAAATGACCGTGCATAGCACGACGTGATTATAGCCCACAGACGCGTCGAGTCCGATAAACATCCTCGCTATCGTGTTACCAAAGAACATTTTATCAAGGTGTGTGTGTGTGTGTGTGCGTGCGTGTGTGTGCGTGTGCGTGCGTGCGTGCGTGTGTATGTGCGTGTGTGCGGGTGTGTGCGTGTCTGTGCATACAGATATCTGTCGCAACTTTTATTAGAACAACGCAAGCTGTATCGCGGAGACCGATTTCCAGGTCCGATACCCGCGCCACGAACCTCAACGGTCACGGTCAATAACGCACTCGTTTTAATCTTAGATTATATTACCGCATTCGCTGTGCGGCCACCGAACTAACTGTATGTCACGGCAAAATTAAGGGTGATACTCCATTAGGAGTGTTCCCAACTGTTCCCCAACAATTCCCAAGTGTTCATTAGGAGTGTCATTAATGGTCATAATAACATATATATATATAATAATATATATATATATATGGTCATGGTCATATATTAGTTTGTGGTTTAATGTCATTTAGGTTAGGGTTAAGGTTAGGGTTAGGATTATCAATCATTAATCATTAATCATTCATCATTCATCATTAATGATATCAAAGTTGGGAACGCTCCTAATGGAGAGTTAGCCAAATTTAAGACCTTCCATGATTCTCCCCTATGACAGACAGGCTACCATAACGCTAGCTCTAGAACTATAACCTTTCGCTCTTATATATAGCCATCTGATATAACTATCTGCCACATAACAGACCTGTAGCAGAGCGAAGGGCTATAGTTCTAGAGCTACCATAACGCGTCACGTGAAAAACATCTTAGGCTACACGTGTAACTGTTTACCTACGAGTGTATGTATGTATGTATGTATGTATGTGTGTGTGTGTGTGTGTGCGTGCGTGCGTACGTACGTACGTACGTACGTACGTATGTATGTATGTATGTACATTGTGGCGTGGAGTGTGTACACGGTAGGTACGCTGTTCACGCGTATAGGAGGGTATCGGGTGTTACATAGCGAGAAGATTTATGGCACGATTATTACAAATAAATCCAAAGTCTGTACACGCAAATCATATATCAGTTGCAGTTAGTTTTGCCGATTATAGCAGTCTGTTGCCATGAACCTGTGTATATATACATAGGTACATGCTATTACTACGCTCTACGCAATGCTTAAATTTGGACTGGTCGTTCTGAGTAGTCAGGTAGCGCATATTTTTATAGTACAAGGGTCGAGATTGCTAGCAAGTGGTACTCCGATACTCCAAGTGGCTACCTAATGCTTACACTTTCAAGTGAGAGCAGACGTTTGTTCGAAAAAAAACTATTTCAAATACACTCACAACCTGTTGGAAGCCTAGGTAACATTATAAAATATAAGCGAATAATACGATACTGTAAGCTGTATAGTCACATAAATGATTATTGTATGTTGTACGTGAGATCCTTGCTGCCTAATATTTTATGTGCTATCAAATGAGTGCGCCCCGTGCACTATTAAGTATATTTCAAGCTCGGTTGTTCATAAAAACCTCTAACAGAAAATCAAGTGCTCAGGTAGTAAATATTATATAACAGTGCCCCCCTCCCCCCTATTGTAACGCATACTAAAACTTTGATATTACACCTTGCCTTTGTGTTCGGTTTTTATTTATACAACCTTTATATCCTGTTGCGATCGCCCGCTAGCTATAGTATAATCGTTCAGAGTGAGCCAGTTTTCACGAAGGCCCAGCCTAGGATATTATCTTTGTTTATTTATACTGCCACATAACATACACATAGACACTGTGTGTGTGTGTGTGTGTGTATGTGTGTGTGTGTGTGTGTGTGTGTGTGTGTGTGTGTGTGTGTGTGTGTGTGTGTGTGTGTGCGCGTGCGCGTGCGCGTGCGCGTGCGCGTGTGTTGTGTGCGTGTGTATGTGTGTGCGTGCGTGCGTGCGTGTGTGCGTGCGTGCGTGTGTGTGTGTATGTATGTATATGTCACACGACACACGCGGTACATAAAATCATTTGCTACCGTCACGGTGTTTGACGTATTGTATGTTGTTGGTAGGTGGCAATCTTTTTCAGGTCATGCGCCCTTTAGCAACACCTCCGAACTATCAGAGAGAGTACGCGAAGCAACGTGCCCTCTAGACTTTTACGTACATATACGAAAATACATATGTTGTCGTGTAGACGCTACATAATCGCTAACTCGAGTTAGCTTAACTCGAGTTAAGGTTCGTTGTGTAGACGAGGCTATAAAGTATAATATGAATATGACGAAGTCAAGCGAGAAATTGAAACGAACGCGCGAAAATATCTGTTTACGGTGGGTAATGTATATTGACGCCAGGGGCGCCAGCGTTTGGCTTGTAAAATGGCATTAGCTAATTAGGTCGGATTGCCCATTAGAAGAATGAAGAATTATGACCAGATATATCTAGCGTATAATCATAATTATCACCTTTCATGGCCGTCCATGATTTCTAGTCGTGATGTGCATCGTTGAAGGTAGTAAAGGCTCATTATGCTTGCATATCACATTGTGCATGTCTGACAAAAATGTATGCGTGCGGGCGTGCGTGCGTGCGTGCGTGCGTGC